ACTTGTGGAACTTGTATTTTGAGAATTTGGGCTTGAGGAATCTCTTCTGCTAACTTCACGACTTGAGGATCTCCAGCCAAAGTATCTCCTTGATGAGTGTTTTCTGTCAAGTTTGGTTGATTTCCATCAGCCCCTTGTGTCTCCACTTGATCACCAGATCCACTTGCTCCAATTGCTTGACTGTGCAAAGCCTGGAGTCTTTGTAGCTCTCTCTGTAGTCCTTCGTATTGTTCTTTGCTTATCATAACAGCCCCTTGTGCTTGTGCCATTTCGGCAAGTTCCACTTCACTTGTGGCTGTTTTCCCCGTTTCCTTCTTTGAGGGATTCGCAGTTTCCTTTTCCTGACTTGTTCCCTTTACCTCAGCTGGCGCGGGCTTCTTCATTTCTGCCCACTTCTCTTCAAGTGTTTTTGTTACGTTTGCAATATCACTTTGCTCAAATGCTCTTTCAAACTCCTTCTCAAGTTCCTTCTCAAGTGCTACTGTCCCACTTGCAAAAGTGTCAGTGTAACGAATTGGCACAGTTTTCGGTCTTTGAGAACGTCACATTTACCACTTGGGCCCACTCCAACGGAGACTTTACGTCCCCACAGACGGCGCCACTGTCGTGACCTTAGGACACGGACAAATTTGGGGGATAGACGGGAAAATACAATTTCCCGCCTATCCTGAAAGTGAGCTCAAAGAGTAAATGTCAGAATGTAAAAGGGCGCTTTTTATCTTAATTCCCCTCCCTCTTGCTACAGGGTTTCGGTTGGCTTGTATAGTGCTCAACCATAATATCAAGATCTACAAGTTTGCCACCTAGGGCTGACATGAAGTTACCAAATTGCCCCTAGTAAACCTATGTCTCATAGAGGTATATTGGTACATTTTGTGGTCCCCAAGTGACATCTAGCGCCAGCTGGTGAGAGTGGTATAAGTGGTCCCCATGCATGGTATTTCCTTGAAATGGGCCAATTGCTCGATGGTACTTTCCTTCAATCTTTAGCATTCAAATTGATCTGACCACACCAGGAGTCGAACACACTCTCCCGTTTTCTCAGCTCCTTGGCCACTTCATAAGATCCTGCTCAAACACAACTTCGTTAGGAAAATTATGTCGACCGATACTACTGGAACGAATTGTCCTGTTTTGGGTAAACACAAATTCCTAGATGGGAGCAAACCTCAAAAATGGAGAATTACTTCGAGCATTTTTATTCGACTAAAAGGAAGAACTTCTAAAAGCATGTTTTTCGGCCAAACTTGGAGGATGGTGTTTTACCCCTTGCTACAACATTAAGATATGACATATATTGTATTACATTTGTTTTTTTTGCATAAATTTTATAAAACTACAGGTATTTTAATCAAACTATCGCAAAACTATAATTTAAGGCGTTGTATACTAAAACTACAGATTTAGCATCATATTTATCACAAAACTACATATTTAAGGTTAAGTATCACAAAATTGCATATTAAAATTGAAGTTATCACAAAACTACAACTTTAATTCAAATCCCTAGCACCATTATTATGCTGGAGCTATAAACATTATTATTTTGTGACTAAATTGGTTCTAAACATATAGTTTTGTGATAATTTGGTTACTAAACATGTAGTTTTGTGACACTTCATCTTAAATGTGTAGTTTTGTGATAAATATATAGTGTTAAATGTGTAGTTTTGTTATACATCAAGTTAGTCATAGTTTTATGAAATTTATCCTTTGTTTTTTTATTAGATGATGAAGGGAATATCATTGATTCGCAAATGATTTGGTTTTGATGACGACCGCATCCAATGCATCCATCCATCCATCAATCGTGCATAGTGGTAGTAGGGCAGTGTGTGTACAGTGCGTAATGTGTGAGCGTGTGGCTGGACTGGTTTGGTCGGCCAAGCCCATCGATCTGCTTCGCGGCGCCGGCAGCCAGGCATGCACTTGTTGGTTTCCTTTGCGTGACGTGGTTCATGTATCATGTGTGTGAAGTGGTGGCGTATCGTCCTGTGCGCGGTCAGGTTTGGAGCCACATCCCTCTTGTCGAATCGACCGGGGTTCCTCATGGTGCAGAAATATTTATGGTATACTATGGTTACATATTTCATCTGCAAGCTCTCTTCTCCCCCGAGGACACCAGGCTGGGGAACTGAGGCGGCTCGGGAGTTGGCACCGCCCAGATCTTGTCTCTCCTCTACCGTATAGGTGAGGAGACCGGTGGACGAGGGAGACTGGTAGTGTAGTAGCTGGAGGCAGTGCTTGGGGCACGGATGCAACACATGGTGGAGTGACAAGGCAGGGTTGGGGGCTGCGAAGGCGCTGCTCGATGGGGTAGAGGGCCAACGCTATTGGATCTGCTATCCCCTTGGCCAGATCTGGTCCCACCTTGTCTGGATCTAAAGCCTCCCGGGCTGCTGCGGTCGTGGACCTAGAGTGGTGATGGTTCATGCCATGACTAGTCCTGGAGGGCAGTGGGGTGCAGCGGTGTGAGGAAGGTTGCATTCGCACCATGAGAAGGGTGGATGCAGCGAACGGAGGACTAGCGGGGCATGCCGATGCAGCTTGAGCGTGACCTTGCGGTGGTGCCGCAACATGGCGTAGCGGTGGTGCACGCTGCTTCGTGTGTGTGGAGAGGGTGGCCGCAGAGTGACGGTCAAGAGTTGGGGGTGGCACCCGACGTGCAGAGGAGACGGCACCGTCGGCACAGTGGAGCTCCAGGTGTGTTTGGGGCTATTCGGTAGAGGAGCATGGTGTGGCAGAGAGGGTATGCTGGCAGAGTTCAGTTGGTGGCATGACGTCGGGGCTATGACAGTAGGTGAAGGTAGACTATAGGCGAAAGCCTTGCCTGGTGTCCCTAGCCGAGCGACATCAGTGACGTCTTGTTTGGGCGCTGCCATCCCTTTTAAGGGCGTTGGTTGAGAGTCCTCCCTCTACCTTTTGTGGGGCCTTCTGGGTGAAAACCAAGTGCATGTTTGGGCTACTGTGGCGGTGCTTCCAGCAGCGTGACCTCACTGGAGACGTTATTTTAGGAGACATGCTCTTCTTTCCAGTCCCAACTTTGATCGGTTCGGTTTTCAACAACGCTATTGGTTGTTGCCATCAAGTTTATTCCAGGGAGAAGTGGATCTTCTTCTCTGTCGCCCCCTCCCTGCTCTAAGATTCCATGGTTGACTAGTGTAAAACAAATGCTTCTCCCTCTATCTCCTTAAGATAAAATAAAATAATGTTACGTGTGTCCAACAACTAATTACTACTTTTTTCGATGCCCTCTAGCTAAAACACTTATTGCGGTGTCATCTACCAAAAAGCACAAACTTTTAGTGTTCTGTATCAAATTTTGCTTCAAGTTCCTTATATAGCTCTTTAAAATTGGGCAAATTTTGCTACAGGACACTGCTATTGTGTGGTTTTAGCCGTGGGACACTGCCCAAACTCACTTTTGGGGGGGGGGGGGAGGAAACACTCCATAAACGTGCTAATTTGCCAATGGACACCGCGCCGATTAAAATAATGATTTCCGGTTAAGGAGGAGAGAGAAATCGCATGAAATATCAAAAATGCCCTTGGGCCCACATGTTAGCTCTCCATATCAAAAATGCCCTGTGGAGGAGAGACGAATCGCCGGCGGTGTGGGAGATGGAGACCGAAACAGCGGCGGTGTGAGAGATGGAGACCAAGACGGTGGCCGGGCGGATGGTGGGGACGGCGCGGCGGATGGAGGCGAGCACGGCGGCGGGCAGGCTCGGCCGGGTGCTCCGGCTCCGGTTGTGCAGGTACTCCCGCAGCGAGTACCTGTTCCCGGAGGCGCAGTCGTTCCCACACACTGACTTCGCGGACGAGGTGGCGTACCTCGACAGCGCCCTCCCTGGTGAGCTTCTACTCTTCCGCCGCTCCGCCGTGATGTCATGGTCGTCGCCCGACGCCTCGCCCAGGTGGCACGTCTACTCGGCGTCTTCGTCGTCGTCGTCATCCAAGTCCACCTTCTCGGCAAGGCCCTTGACAACCTGTGGATGGCCGGATAAGGGGAGACCGTGCCTATGTGGACGCCTCACCTCGGGTGGGACCCCACTCCCGGCAACCATCCTCCACTCGTCACACGGCTCGTCGTACTGCTTCAGCCTCCACTCGCCGTACTCTGCCACGATGTACATTCGGCCGCCGGCAACCGTGCAGGAGCCCGTCCACCCTTCCCACATCCCGCGTGCCATCTCCGACCACGAGTACGACGCTACTCCATGAACGCGCTCGACGGAGCAGACGGCCGAGCCCGCCCGCCACCCACAACGCCGCCGCCACCCTCGCCTCCATCCGCCACGCCGTCGCCGTGTTCCGCCCGGCAACCGTCTCTGTCTCCATCTCCCACATCACCGTTGTCTCAGTCTCCATCTTCCACACCGCCGGAGATTCGTCTCTCCTCCACAGGGAGAAAGAAAAAGAAAGAGAGGAAGAGAGATGGAGAGCTGACATGTGGGCCCAAGGGCATTTTTGATATTTCACGCGATTTCTCTTTCCTCCTCAACCGGAAATCATTATTTTAATCGGCCGGTGTCTATTGGCAAATTACCAACGTTTATAGAGTGTTTTCCCCCAAAAGTGAGTTTGGGCAGTGTCCCATGGCTAAAATCACACAATAGCAATGTCCTGTTGCAAAATTTGCCTTAAAACTGCATAGGCACACCTACGGGCATCAAGTTCCTGGGTCTGCTATTATCGTGGGGCATGCATTAAACGATGATATATGTATATCAGGAACCATATGTAATAGTCCCTCCGTTTCAGGTTACAAGACTTTTTGATTGTAGTCAAAATTAAACTGTTTTAAGTTTGACTAAGTTTGTATAAAAAATAATAACATTTTCTATCGAAGACAAATTTATTGTGAAAATATATCAATTATTGATTTAATGAAACTAATTTTGTATTATAAATATTACTATATTTGTTTATATATTTAGTCAAATTTAAAAATAGTTTAACTTTGATAAAGTTAAAATATCTTATAACTGAAACGGATAGAGTACAAAATGGATTGTCTGTAGTGCAGACTTATTTACATACGAGCAGGTCGTATAGTGGCATGTCGGGTCGTACGTACTTGTACACGGTACATCGCACACATGGAGTATTTAACATGTAGGTTCTAGGCAAGGCAGCTCCAAAATATAGCAAGGAGCAAGGCGTGAATCACGCCATCTTTAACCTTTTCGCACGCGCGCGCGTTCAGTTGCGCACCCACAGCATGTCGCCCAGCGGCATGATGTGGCACACCGGCACGCTCCCGGCCGCCACGCCGACCCTCTCGTACGCCTCCGCCACGCCGGGGAACGCGTCGCCGTGGCACGTCGCGAGCGCCTCCGCCCGGGTCCCATCGGCACCGGCGAGCGTCACCGCGTACGCGGTGGCCGTGGTCGTGTGGCACCCGAACACGGCGTACGCGTAGGGCATCCCGTGGCACGTCACCATGTTGCCGCCGGAGACAGACACGACGGGCTTCACGGCCTCCACCGTGTACTCCTGCCTCGGCGTCTCCGCCGCCCCCGTGCCGATCACCTCCGTGGAGACGGCGCGGATGTCGCGGGTGCCGAGGCTGGCGGCGGCGAACTCGACCATGGACTCGAGCGACGTCACGCAGTGCTTGGCCTGGTCGCGGGCGCCGAGCAGCGCGGCCTCGCACTCGGCGAGGGTGGTCCGCATGTCCTCGGCGGCGCGTGAGCCGGCGGGGACGGAGAGCTGGGTGAGGATCTCCGGGAGCTTCTCGGAGGCGAACGGGATGGCGTCGGCGCGGCCACGGAGGAGCACCATGGCGCAGGCGCCGCCGCGGGTGAAGTGGAGCGTGATCTTGGAGCCCGGGAACAGGTCCTTCTCGAGGAAGAACACCGCGTCCGTGCTCACCTCGTCCATGTCCGTGTCCTCCTGCGAAGCTGACCTCGCAGGGTTGATGAGGTCGCGAATGGCGCCGGGCATCGGCGAGGTCGGGAGCGCGATCTTCCAGTACAGCTCCGCCGGCGACGCGGCATGGCTGGCTCTCGCGGCGGCGACCTGCAGTGCAGTCACAAAACAAATTCAATCGAAAACTGTTAACTTCAGATATACTTAGCTAATTAGCATGCAAAATTAATAGGCATATATTGTTCTAGTTAGTTTAAGAAAAACAACAGTACAACTTAAATTAAGAAAAGACCTCTGTCCGTAGTTCACATCAGAAATTCAATGAACTCGATCAATGTTCATCTATAAATTAACCGTACGTCTTAATAAATTAATGAGGCAAATATTGTTCCAGTTAGTTTAAATTTTAGCTAGAGTAACTGTAACTTATTTTTTAATCTTTAAGTACACGGCTAGATCGCGTGTGCTAGCGGGATATAGCACTATCTAGCCACACCCACCTTTTCCAAAAAAAAGTTACTAGTACATTCAATATTACATGCTTTTTTTTTCCTTCCGAGATAATTTTCTCTTAGATTTTACGAATCTTTAACTAATGAAGATCTCTTACTCCCTCCGTTTCTGTGCTAGCTAACCGATATAAAGAGCGATATGTGTGCATGTCTGCTCACCACAAGGAGTGGGAGAGCAGAGAGTGACCTCTGATAAGAGTGAACTGATGTACATGCTAATTCCTAGCTTTGGGGAGCTATTTATAGAGGAGGGAAGTGGGAAAAAGAAGACGAACACGTAACATAATACATTTGCATTGGTGCCACTTGGATACAGGACGAAATAAATTTCAGATGTAGCAAAGCTGCTACATCACATTTGGATACCTCTATTATTGGGCGTTGTTATCTAATACTATTTTTGTTTTAAATAGATAGCATGGTTAACTTTTTGACATATATTTAACTATCCATTTGACCATGAGTGAAGGAGGCGAGTCAAGTATAGGAGGTCGTGATAGCGGCGGTGGGGTAGTTTCTTCTTCTTCTTCGTTTCTCGAGAGCTGTGGAGAAGGTGCGTTCAGAGGACCCAAGTGTTCGGTATGAGCCAGTTTTTGTATGGTGTTGGCTGAAATAACCGGTTTTTGGTTAGATTTTGATAAACCGGTGAGAAGCGGTTTTTACTTTGAAACCGAAAAGGTAAACCCTGATTGGACCAAAGAGGTCGAGGACTTGTGGGCCCGCCCATGACGCTTGGTGGCAGCAGGGAGGTAAGACGGACTAGGTCCATCTTATCATCACGCCATGTCTGATAGACGACGTGTTGACACGTAGGAGTATGTTTCTTTGTAAAACAGCATATTGGATATCTATTTGGGATAAGGGCGACGAGTTAAGGCTTGGTAGCTGTTTGGAAGCAGGAAGGACAGTGCTAAACCTCCGTTGACTTTTTAAAATATGCTTGACCGTTTATCTTATTTAAAAATTTTAAGTAATTATTAATTATTTTCCTATCATTTAATTCATGGTTAAATATACTTTCATGTATATATATTTTACAAAAACTTTTTTTATAAGACGAATGATCAAATATGTTTAAAAGAGTGAACAACGTTAAATATTCGAGGAGAGAGAGAATATCTAATAAGGCGTGGTGGTGCTTGGCAGTTGCATAGCAACAGGACGGAGCTACTCCTGCTCCTTACCTCTCCACGTCCAAAGCCGGATTACGAGACAAAAGTCCACAGTAGGTCATGCTTAGTGCGTCGTGTTGAGCTAGGGCCGGATTGCGTGAGATATTATCGAACTTCTTGTCATGACCGACTCAGTGTGGTTACTGCACGATGGGACTTGGCAAGAAATATTTATTGATTTTTGGCGAGACAATTCTGACATCAAAATTTCTAATAAGAAGATGAGCTATATGACGGGTTGAATATAACAAGTTGAAACAAGAACATATATAGAGGAACATCTGAAACTTAGTCTTACAGCTTTCTTTTATTCTATTCCCTCCATCCCTAAATATATGACACCGTTGACTTTTTTAAACATGATCGTTCATCTTATTTAAAAAAATAAATAATTATTAATTTTGTTCCTATCATTTGATTTCCTATTTAGTGGGCCGTATAGTCTAACCACCTCTTGGTTGTAACTCTTGCTATCTGTATATTTGCAGGGGGAGGTGCGGTGGCATGATTTATATCCATTATCTAATTTAGAAAATCATCTGACCTCGTTCGCCCCTTTGTTTTTCATTATTAGTAAACTAGTAATCTACCCATGCTAACGCTACGGCACTATAAAATTTGTGTTAATAAATTATTAAATTCATGTTAATCAAATTAAATTTCCCAGATTCAGTCCATTTGATCCATGTCATATATCAAATATATTAAAGAAAAAGTACACAAATATCATATTGTCTAAAAATTAATTCAAAACCACCAACAATTGTATCTACTCAGAATCATCTAGCAAATAGTAGTACTAAGAAGTCTGGAAAAACTAAAAGCTTCATATCACGGGTTTGATTTATCATCCGCAGATTGCCATAGTTGACTTGGTGCTCTAGACTGCCGGTGTTGCTTTTCCTAAAATGCAATTCAACAAACTTATAGAATGTAGAAGGGATATGACAAAAAATTACTACCAGAGATTAGATATGCACATCTAGACAAGGAGCAACGAGATACATTATTAATAGCCACCTTCCTGCCGCTGGTAAATGGTGCTTAAACGCACAGAAATATGATAGCAACATGCAAGAAAGATGCACACCTAAACAACATGCTCGTACTTGCCGGCTCGCCAGCTGCCAGATGGTTAGGAACCAAAATCAATATTAACCAGTAATTGTGGCCACTCAAACCGTTCGATTAGAAGGGTCACCACGTTTGCATCCATGACAGCTGACACCCTCCAATGAAGTTTCCCTTTGATGCAATCGGCCACTGCAAGCATGATCCGGAGATATAGCCTTGTCCAACACCACTGTTTCATCCTCATCTCTCACCTGCACTAAACCGCTCCTCTTCATCCTGCTACCATCACAAAAGGTGGTTGCTATAAAAATAAATTAAACAGAGTGTAAGCTACAAAAGAATCATTCGTAATAGCATCCGAAGAACATTCATTTCTAGAACTGTCACAAGTAACCTCCACAGAGCATTTTTTAAGTGTCGGGCTGTTGCAAAAGGTCATAATCATTCCATGGCCCTCTGTTAGAAACTTAGAACCAAGGCAACACAATGGCTGCATGCACATGGACGACGAATGAACTATGGCAATTTACTGCTAAAGCTCAATATGTTTTCACGAAATTGGTAAGCTAAATATATATTGTTGTATAAATACGTGCAGGCTAAGCGTTCCATTAAAGGTTGCCAGGCACAGCTAGTAAGTATGCACGTGGAATCCATGTGACATAATATTTGTGATAAATAGATTACCCTAAATCAAGTTACTCAAATTTCGTAAAAGAAGTTAAGTGGTCTCTCTGGGTGAAGCAAATTGAAATTCATGCAACTTCTGAATCAAGCCACATTTATATTTCATCTTTCAGTCTTGTACATACATGTTACTAAAAGCACTTTTGTCAAAAATTGCAAGTGAACTTCAGAATTAATGCATAAGTACATACCAATTCATGCTACACAGCAAATGGCTATAATTAAATCTATGCAAATGCATAAGTACACTTTGCCGAGTGGCACGTCGGCAAAGTGTAGAATCAAGGAGTTGATTTAGATTTTGTGATGAAAATATTGGTGGTTTGCTAATGTTAATTTGGAGATTTTATGATATGGTTGATTTTGTAAAGTGTGCAATTTCGGTTGACCCTGGCGGTCAGACCGGCTGAGTGCCACCGGTCAGAATGCAGGTGTTGCGGCGGTCAGACCGGCTGGCCCGACGGTCTGACCGACAGGATCCTGTTCGATGTCGGTTTCGGATTGTTTTGTTGGATTTGGATATTTCCTTCGGGGATTTAACTTCTAGATGGTTTCTATGCGTATGGATACTGTTGTTATACTAATATGAGTCAAGTTGGGATGAACTTGGGCTCGGAATATGGTTTCTTGGTTGTTGCATGTGCGGGTGTTGCTTGAGGCCTCGGGAGAGTGTTGCAGGTGATAGATCAGAGTCAACTTGGGAGAAGTTGATGTCCAGGGATCAAGAGATCATGCGGAATATTAAAGGCTAGAGGACAATGCACGTGGTGATGAAGAAATCCATATGGTATAAAAGAGGGATTGTGTACGTATGAAAAGAGGAGTCGAATTTGGAAGGGAGTCCGAATTCGGGAAGTTTGATTGAGATAAGGAAAGAGATGAGTTGTTTACTTGGAAGAGAGGGTTTCCTACGTGGGTTAGGAATCCTAAGTTGTGTTAGATTCATGGGCTATGCACAGCCTACCTTATGTATAAATAGAGAGGGAGGGTGAGGCCTCCCGGTATCGATTTTTAGAGAGACTAGAGTTGAGAGAAAGTTAGGGTTTCGATTTTAGTTCGAGATTTTGGTGAGGAGTGCTGTTGGTGCACTTTGTAAACACTAGTTGATGTAATAAAGTCGAAAAGTTTCAATCTACATCTTCGAGTTTGTCATCTACCGGTGTTTCTAGGTCCCGACGGTCTAACCGTAGGTGCGCGCGCGATCTGACCGGTGGGATAGCGGCAGTCTGACCATAGGTGATCGGGCAGTCTGACCGGCGAGGTGTTGGCAGTCTGACCGGCGGCAGGAGGGCGATTCGACTGGTAGCAACAAGACTTCATCGTCGTCTTCATTCGAGGTTAATCTTTAATTCCGCAAAAGACTTTTCGGTTTTTGGTTTTCCCTACCATTCACCCCCCTCTGGTAGGTTTGTTTGGTCTTGTGTGATCCTGCACAAAGCCGGACAGCCGCAACGATGGCAGCGGCGGGGCGCTCTCTTTTCCCCCGAGAATGCCAGGCTGGGGCAGTTTGGGAGTTTGACAAGACTAGGGTGCCGAGGCAGCTTGGGAGTTTGGCACTACACAGATCCAGTCTCTCCTTGAGCAGTACAGGCGAGGAGACCGGTGGACGAGGGAGGCTAGCAGAGGAGGTGGTGGAGTGGTAGGAGGCGGGGCTCGGGGCACGGAGGCAACACATGGGGGAGTGACAAGGCAGGGAGGTGGACGAGGGAGGGTAGCGGAGGAGGTGGCTCGGGGCACGGAGGCAATACATGGGGGAGTGACAAGGCAGGGTAGGGGGCTACGGAGGCAGCGTGCGATGGAGTGGCGATCGGCGGAGGAGCATGGAGTGGCTGAGAGAGCGTGCTGGCGGCCTCTTTGAATTAGGAACTTAGCCCTCAAATAACCTAATTTGAAATTCGCTCCTATGGATATTTGAACTCAGGATCTTAGGATGCTACTCAGGTCACTGCAACCACTAGGCTACATACTCTTTCACTGCCCACATTCATATATATATATATATATATATATATATATTAATAAATCTAGACACATATGCTAAAAGGGGGCGGCTAATGGGCGGGTGATCGCCTGGAGCGATCACCCCCCCATCCCCTCTATACACTACTTTCTTCCTTCCTATTCCCCTTCTTCTCTTCCTACTACACCATAAATTTTTAAAAAATAAAAAAACATAAAGTTGAAAAAATTTATATATAGAAATACTGTATATAAAAAATTTGAATTCAAATTCAAATTTAAAACGGGTATGTAAACTTTTGATTTATAAACTTTGGGTCTATAAGCTAAT